GGCTAGCTAGACTATATTTTCTGCCGGTAGCAAGTGGGTATGCACTTGTGTGGAGAGCACCGAAATTCCGAACCAGCGCTGAATGCTGTTCCCGCTTTTTAAACTGGAATTTTGCACTCTTCGGAATTTATACTCGGTTGAGTTATTTCCGACTATAAATGGTAGAGCACCACTTGTAACGGACTGAAACTGTTCACGGGGAATGTTTTATATTGAAAATTATATAAACCGACTCTGAGCTTGATTACTTTATTTTGCGTTTTGCGTTACCTGTATATTAGGAACGATAATAATATGATAGTATAGAATATATTAAGAAGGTCTTTGCATAAGTTTTTTTTAGTAATAGCCTATTAAGTTAGTATTATACAGTATAGTTTTGACAGCTAATATGAAAGACTGACAAGATATTATTTTTATTTCTGAACAACAACTCAACTTAATATTAATAGTACTTTTTTTATCTGGTGGTCTTTCTTTTCATAAAATTGTCTTATACGAGTACCTTTAGTGCTATAAAATTTCTGCAATACCTACATATGGCATGAAATTACTTAACCATCTACACGAACGGAATTTGTACCTAATGATGATTTTATCATTTACTGATCAATCAGTTAGGGGTTCTTAGTTGATAATAAATTATTGACAATACTAATCATTCATCCAATCTAAATAAACATAAGACTTTCATGAATCATAAAATATTTTATCTACACTCATGTCGAAATATCCGAATTACGAATCTGAAGATGGTTTTATAAAGACCTACTTTATAAAAGCACATACATACTTAAAATTAAAAATCATTACTGGAAGCTTACTATGATCTCTTATTGCAGAACTCTTTAAGTTTTTAATAATTTCGAATGCGAATAAGTCAAAGTCTGGGTACAATGTTTCAACTAAAAGGTGGTGTTCGTATTGTGGTACCACATTCCTTTTTAAATTAATATGTTATTGGAAACTAACTTTAATTATAAGGCGTTAGCGTTATTGACTTAATTAGTATATTCTCTCACTACGGGATATTGGCGAAATTTCTGTGTAAAACGGAAACAGCCACAGACAAAAAAAAATGGGTGCGTGTACTTATGTAGGCGCGTGAGAAGTTATCCTTCTTTGGCATCGTTTAAAATTAGTTTTTAATTGCATGCAAATAATTAATTACAATAAATTATTAAAAAGTCTGGAAAAGGACAAAGTCAATAAAGTTCAGTTTTAATTTGAAAAAATAAATAAATAATAAAAATATTCAGTTAAAATCGCTACTGAATATAATTTATTAGAACATATGTGATTTGCACTTGTATGAAACTCAAACACGTATTCCGAATATACAAACTAGAAACATGTGGATAAATATTATAAATATGAATACCTATAAGTGTTACTTTATTACAAAAAATAAAGATGTGGTTTTTGGTTCTACTACACCAATGGTCAAGAGATGGCGCTGTAGTCTCCTGAATCGCGCTTTGGTTCCGTTGTTCCAGATTAATAAATACTTTTGATAGGCCTTCACAATGCAGTCGTTAGCACCCACAAAATAGAGATTCTATTTCTATTTTGTTGGTAGATTTTCTTAATGTGCGGTAAACACAAAAGTAACAGCATGAAGTTGGTCGCTTTAGCTTTAATTTTTTGTGTTACAGTGATGCGCGCGCATCTTAAAATTTCACTCTCATAATTTTTTCATAACGCGCCTAAAGAAGTATAACTTCAAAAATGTGCGTTGGGACACTAGTAGAAGTGAAACTTTAACGGACAAGGGCCGAGAAAGCCTTCGCCTGCCTGCTGCCTCTTACCGCGTGATATATCGTCTACCCGCTCCATACGGCCGTAATGCTTTTTCGTGTCAGCAAAATCCTAATCCTAATAAAATAAATTAATAAAATCCTGATTCCCCCTTCTATATAGAAGTTTCACTTCGAAAAAGATACTTAACCGTACTGAATTCAAACAACCGTGCACTGAAAAAATATAATAAGATTTAGATTTTTTTCTGTTGCACTATTTATGCACAAAAAGTTCACAGACGCGTGTCTTAAGTGGATGGAACCCGCACCCAAGCAGTCCAAGTTAGCTTGTTGTGATCATGATCGGTATCTGTGTGCTTGCTCGAGCGCACTTTGTATGTAACTAACCTTCTGTACTGTCAATTTTGAGATCGCAAGCTGTCAAATGTAGCGTCTCAGAAAAAGTCATTAGGTAGGTACTTGACATTGAATCATTTTTTGGCTTATAGTCGCGGAATGCTATGATGGCCGTTTTGAAACATTACAATTTTGACGATATTGTAATGTGTATCGAAAACAAGAAGAAAGCGAGGGGAAAAGGGGAAGGAAAAGGGGAAAGAAGGGGTATTCAACCACGAGAGTCTGTTTATTAATAATAGGTTGACTCGAGTGTTTTAATATCTAAATAATATACGGTTTCATACACTACTTTATCCTCACTCATAGGAACAATTAAATTTAATCAAAGTAACAAAAAGTATTTAGAAGTTCTGAAATCCCGGAAGCAAAATACGCTCGGCAAAAATTGTATGGACGAGAAATTAATTTCATATTTCGAATGCGTGCGCCTTTTTTTTACATTCAGCCTAATATCATAATATCATAGCCTAATTTAATAAATTAAAAAATAAAAGTGTGCTAAAATGATTAAAAAGTTATTTTACGATATAGCTAGCTAGCAGTACTGTAATAATTTTTATTTCTAATTTTATGTAAGTGCGTTTATAAAGGTTTACCTACGTCTTTTTAAAACCATCTTTAATTTCGTAATTCGAATATTTCGATATGAGTGTAAATAAACTACTATTATCTGTCACCTCATAAGAACAACTCAACAAAGTGTTTATTATTAATGCTTCTCTCACACCTGCGCGACGAAGCTCTGGGTGCTTTTGGTAGGTACTAAATGCGCTAAACTTAGGGTTAGAAATTTTAATTAGTTCTATCGTAATGAATTATCAGGCTGCAAGTCTATAAACACAAGTGTGGGGAACGCATTATAATATTATTATAAACATTAATAATTTATATTATATCTTAAAGGTGAAGAATACGATAATAATGAATCATAAATAAAAACGTATTATTTAATGATAACTGTATCATAATTTATTTTGACCATACAGTGATCATTGCATAATACCGATTGCTTACAAATGACATATTATTTCATAATAATTTTAAAATATGCCCGACCCTTATTTTATATTTTTATTAGCATTGAGGATTGGCGTTTCATAACAGCTTAAACAATTCCTTAAGGGCCAGAAAAAATTTTTCGTTTTTACTTAACCTAAATAATATTAGAACTTAAATTACATATCGAACATTTGGACTTATTATATTTTTTGAAATAAGGAGATCTGGGCCTGTACTCTTAAAAATCTCTTTTTTTATTATTTATATTTGTCATTACATAGAAATATTAAAATTACAAAACTTTAAAACTACTTAATCTCTAAAAACTTACATTTTCTTTACCTACCTTAATAAATAAAAAAATACAAAACAAAAAATTGGAGCAGGTTCACCTTGCAGAGGCGCTACGCCTAAAGAAGGACAGAAATCAGAAATCAATATATCTTTATTCAAATTGGATGTATAGTACAACACTTATTGTTTTATATATATTGGACATATGTTTTAAAGAGCTCGACTGTACCATGTGCAGAAGACAGAATGGCGGTAAGGGCAATATATGAAATATTACGCGAACCTAGTCCTCCGAAACGAACAGGGAGAGAGGCCTGCTTCCAAGCGTTTTCAGAAAATAAACAATTTTGAATTTTGCAAAGTACCTCGCTGAGCAAATTTTCAATAGATGACAGAAGTTTCAAAAAAGCTAAAAATAACTACTACGTAAAAAAATATATGAATTTTGGGGCAAAAGCGTTAAAACGAATTAAATACAAAGCCAGGTATGGATTGATTTTTAACATTTTTTCGGAGGACTGCTGAAATTTGGAAATTTGTTCATCAATAAAAATCGGAATAACATTGGCAAAGATGGGGGGGAACCTAGGAGACGGGATGATTTATTTTCAAGTATTTTATTATAATATTTTAGTTAGTAATATTAGATTTTAAAATTTGGTAAAAATGTATTGTAGCTGATCAGGTGAAAATTTTGATTCTGGAATGAATAGCATGCATTTTAAATAATTTAGATCAAGGCCAATATTTTTGAAATTATCAATAATAAAGTGAAAATCTGAAAGAACTGTTGAAATATCGCCAGCGATAGTTCCGTCCTCAATGTGCTTGATGCAGCAGGTTGTTTTTAAAAATATGTTTGGTAGATTTACTGTAGCTTGCCAAAGATAATTATGAATAGCAGGAGTTCTTTCTTTAATTACTGAAAACAAGGCACCTTTATCTATGACTTGATGTCAATAAAAAAATAAAAAAGAATATTATTCTTATTAAAATTAAATGTTTATTACATTTAAGAGCGTATAAGTAATATATTGTATTATTTTTTTTTCTTTGCCTAATCACATATTTTTGTAGATATCAAAAAATATTTTTTCTCAAATGTAATGTGTGGTTTTGTGGTGTCAACCCTAGCATTTTTGACAGCCTAAATGCAGATTGTATTGAAAAGACAAAAATTCATGGTAACATTTCCCAATCATTTTACTAAAAAAATCCTGTTTATCACTTAGTTTCAAAAGTAATTGCCATCTTTTTCTAAAATCTTGCAACAGTTTTTTATATTTAAATATAGAGACCATACTGAAGTCAGACATCGTAATGGGCAATGTTGGCTAAAAGTGCATATAACTTTGCTGCCAACGAAATGCTCCAAAACTTAAATTAAACGTTGAAAATTATTAGATTTTTATACGCCACTACGTGCCCAATAATAATAGATTTTAGATTCACAACTAATTAAAAGAGATACTCAGGTTGCCATTGAAAAATCCAAAAATAATCGGGCAATGTGAACGTGTTTCACGGTACATAATCAAAGAAACATACCTTTCATTTTACGCTTCCTCGAAAGTACTCTTCGTAAAATTCAACCTCACATTTTAAAGTCACTATCATGATAAGGTATCTCTTTCATAAAGTTCACTTCACATTATAAATTCCTTTTTCAGAATGTCCATTAGCCACGAGTTTAAAAAAAGTTGAATAGTTAACATTCAAAAATGGAACTACGCTCGCGATGGCTGTAAAAGTTTTCCCTCCATATTTCAGAGGGGAGGACACGTGCGCCTCTCACGGGGTGTACTCGCGGACTGCTAGCTAGAACGGGGTTACCCACCCTCGAACAAACGGCAAGCTTCATTACCTATCACATTTACGATAGACATAATTTCTGCAACTTTTTTTTTCTTCAATTAGTACAATCGATGTAAAATGTATAATACCTTTTGGTATCCTTATAATTAACATACAAATCACAATTGCGACTTTTCTTCAATGTATTGATATAAATATAAAATACATCAGCGTTTTTCTCAATAAATACATTATAATATGTTAGTATCCAACAGAGCAATGTGCGTGGGCGTAAACAAGGTCCTCGTTAAATAACAACTTTACAGTCATTCCTTAGTTATTTTTGGGCAAATTTCTATAAATGCTTGTTTATATCGAATTTCTCGATTAGTTTAGATCGAAGAAGATACTTTAGATTGTATATACGTGAACTCTGTTACAATATTTATTACGTTTTGCGTTCAATTGACGTTTTTTCTGATTGATAAATTGTGTATAGAGTTAAGTAACTGAATTATTAAAATATAAGTATTATGATTATGAGAGGTAGGGCATGACGGATTTTTAAGTAACCCCCGGTTGTGTTTCTGTGAGTTAATTTCCAGGGTTCCACGAGATATGAAAATGGGTCAGGGTAGGCAACGGTGCGAGCGATATTTTTGGTAACGCAAGCATCTTTAAGCTATGGTGGCCGCTTACCATCAAGAGAACCATAAGCTTGTTTTCCACCCATTTAACACAAAAAAAAACGACGGGTTGCACTCCGGGAGTGCCGGCAGAAGTGAAAACTTGAATATTAACGTTGTGCATTTTTGATATTTTGGAATGGTTAGGGAATAATTTTGCACGAATTGCAAAATTATTTCCTAACCATATTTTTATCAGCATAAAAGTACTATGTATGTGGTGGAATACAATATTTATTTATTACGCTATCATACACAAACATGACAACTTATATTACATTAAAAAAGTTTATCTCTCAGAAAAATCAACTTACATGAATCACGTTTAAGCGCACTTAGCAACATCTATTGTAAAGAAATCAACTTACATGAATCACATTTAAGCGCACCTAGCGACATCTATTGTAAAAAATGCATTTTCTTCGCAATAAAGAATAATAATAACATGGACGTCCTAGATAGAGAATAATTATTATAATACGATAAAATAAAATATTACTATGTTTCGTCCAATATATTAAAAGTCAACCTTTCCAATTTTATTGTGTGTCATGATGCGATCAGCCCACGTGATTAACTTGACAAGAGTTTAACATTTTTCACCCATACAAAAAAAAGTGTACAACGCCGCTAAAGAAGTTTTCACATCAAAAATACGGATGTTGAGTTCTTGTGGGTTGAAGTCGATTATACGCGACTGACTACCTAATAATCACTCTTTTATTTAATAATTCAACAAGCGGGATTTCTGAAGGGCAATGTTGCTCAGTTCTGATCAAGGGCTAAGCTACATATTATGTGTGGAGCTCGAAGGCGCAGGTGGATAGCGGCCTACGATCGTGAAAGTTAAGCAACTTTCGCAATGGTTGGTCATTGGCTGGGTGACCAAAACTTATTATCTCGACCTCCTCCGTGCTTTGGAAGGCACATTAAGCCATTGTACCCTGCTGCATCTGCAGTCGTTAGCACCCGTCGATCTGCATTGGGCCCCCGTGGTAGGTCATGGCCCGATCCCCCCATTCCATCCATAGGGAAGGCCCCAGCAGTGGGGACATCAATAGGCTGATGATGATAGTGATGACATATTATATGAATAACTAAAATGCATTTCCTGTATGTAGTTGTATAATTGCGACATTATTCCCGAATCCTAGTCGCGTAAAAGCGATTTAGTCTGATAATAACCGGTACAATTTGAATGCGAACGTCCACTGCAGCATGCAATTAAATGTTTCCGTTTCAATGGAACTTTGAAATAAGAAGAACTTCTATTCTTTCGGCTATTTCGTGCCGTCACTGCTCCTTTGTCTTTGAGTGAATATAATAACTCTTTGTTTGTAAAAAGCTCCAAGGAAGTAGGTAGGTTTTTACAATTTAAATGCTTTCAATCTTTCATTAAGACAGTGCTTACTTAGGTTTGTTGTTTTGAGTTACGTAATCCGCATTTGTCTTTTGTTTTCGTAAGATATAAATAACTACGTAACAAAGAAAAAGATAATAATAATCATGGAAGAATTCAAAATAAAAATACGTGTTGACGACTGGCTGCGGCTACAAATCTTCTTTTATAATAAGTTTATATTTTGTACTTGTTTTACTTTTCTATGTTACTATTTGACACTGTTACTGTTTGATAGACTTTGCTATTGTCACTACTACTGCTTGTATCGTATTTATTATTGTGAACACGAATTATATTTATTTACAGCTACGTGTCTTTACCCTACATTAATAACATAAACCGACTTCACAATCGAAAATGGAACTAAAAGATATAAAATAATATCTGTTATAATTTTTATTATTTTAAAGCATGTAACTGCTTGATGTCTGAATCTAAAGAAAATATAACTAGAAAAAAATCCACGCGGACCAGGCAGCAGACGGGACTCGAACCCGCACCCTTCGCAATCCGGGGGAATGCACTGACCAAATAATATCTGGTTTATGATTTGGAAGTCGGAGCTGGGTCAAAATAGGGATGATGACTAATTTTTTTTTCTTCGTTTATCAGGTAGATTGTCAAAAAGTATTGGACACGTATTTTTCTTTTTTCACATAATATAAACATTGCAGAGATATATTGATTTGAAAAGTCGCATGACGTCACGTTTGAGTACACTTATAAGTGAAAATTCACTCAAAAGTGACGTCACGAGCCCCTACTCCCAAACTTTGATGCGCTTTAACTTTGTCATTTTTTGGTTGATTGCCCAAAGAAAAAATACGTGTCCATTATTTTTTGATCATCTAACTGACGGACTAAATAAAATTTCGTTTACTGTACCCCGTCATCACCCCTATTGCAAACATATTATTACTGATCTGAAATCCAAAATCTATGTTATGTTTCAGTCTTAGCCCCGACCGACTTCTAAATCATGAACTAGATATTCGTTTTAATTTTTAGTTCCATATGCAATTTTGAAGTCGGTGTTAATTTTTGTTTAAACAAAATATTTCATCCAATTTAGAGAGAAAAAAAAACCATAAGGACCGAATTGAGAACCTCCTCCTTTTTGAAGTCGGTTAAAAATTACACCGTCCAAGTAAAGAATAAACATAAAAGCTTATAAAATAAAAACTACTAATTAAAACTAAATATATTCTTTTTATGAAAACAAACAGCAGACCAGAAATCTTTAAGTTATCGCTGAACATACAAACAAAGTATCATAAAAATTACATCGTCAAAGTTACAAAACTGCTTATAAAATAAAAAACTACTAGGGCAAATGTGATTAAAGTTTTAATGCGACCGAAGGACAACAATTCCGCGTCGAATAAAAAAAAACACGTAAATCGGATTAGAAATCTCACAGTAATTGATGTACATACATAAAAAAACACATACCGACCGAATTGAGAAACTCTCTCTTTATGAAGTCGGTTATAAACATCACTTTTCTTGTAACCATGATGATCATTTTTGTTTATCATGAGTCTTGTTGACCATAAAAATATGGTGGCGAGATTAGTCAATAAGATTAACGTGCTGTTAACTGTCCTTGACGATTGTAAAAAAATTAGAAAACCTGATTTCAACACAATAGCCCTTACCCTATTTCTTATAGAAATATTCATCTCTTTATCTATCTCTCTAGTTCTTTCTTTCTCAACTAATTTCACCCCCTTTCGATTTTTTCCGCATAGAAAAGTACCCTAACTCTTCTCCAAGATCCCTTTTATCTCCTTACCAAATTTCATCAAAATCGGTCCAATTGTTTAGCCGTGAGAGGGTAAAAGTCAGAAAGGTAGTTTTAGTAAATTTAAAATATTAGTACAGATTCCGCTGATAGGTAGACGATGCTACAGCATAACAGAGACACAAATACTTCAATTTTAATCTTAGCATATAAATCAACCACAGTACAATATTCAGCTGGCGGGGATTGACAGCGCGACCAGTCGCCGCACCAAATATTGTCATTCTTTCCTAAATTTTCACCTTTTTCTTTTCCTTCCTATATTTTCCCTTCCCCCCTTTCTCTGGCAGATGGAAGAACGCACTTCTTTCGTCTGTTCTCTTTCTATCCCACCCACCCTCTGCTACGGCACATCGATAGCCATGCAGAGGACGCTTGGTGGGTGGGCCGACGGCCACTCTCTGGTACGGTTTGCCTGTTCACCACAAACAAAATGTATTAAGTATAACAACAGTTCACCAGTTAAATGCATGAAGAAATTCGAGTAATTCGAATAGAATTTTTGAATAAACTTACATCTGCTCATAGCACGAGAAAGGCAGATGCCAATGCACCCTATAATTAACTCACATTTCTAAAGTCCTTCACTGTCCGCTGTCCATCAGGCAACGGGCTATATTTATCATGAACCACACGGCTTTGATATCAAATATTTACAATGAAAGAATAAATAAAGGATCAAACAAACCTCATAAAAATGGCGTTCTTTCCTCAAACTTGAAATGTTAAATCTTGTATGACGGCAACATTCATATGCGATTCCGGCTCGTATTTGCTTTGTATTTTGTCCGCTTCTCTTGTTCCAAATTGGGAGTCATCCACTCTAATACACAATTTCTTATTTTTATGTTAAACAGATGGCAAACAAGCGTATGGTTCGACTGACGGTATGCGGCCGCCATATCCCATAGGCGCTTGCGATACCAAAAATACATCACTCGCACCATTTCCTACTCTAACCCAATCCCATACCCCGTAGAGCCCTGCAACTTTAAGTACTCACCGACAGGAAAACACGTCACCACCAAAAGGTAGTGCTATATACCTACCTACTTTTTAATTTATATGTTTAACTCATCCCACTAAGTGTTTTTCGATAATAAATATTACTCACGGTTACACAATGGATCGATATTATTCAATCCACAATAACTCAGATTTCACTCGGACGGAACAAGGAAGAGGAGAGAAACATTAATTCCACTAATGCGTACACCTACACGCCAAATACAGATTATATTTTAATTCGAGATGTGGATTCAACCTAATGCTTCGCGCACACCTGTGCGACGAAGATTCGGATGGCTTTGGTACTA